TGAAATTAAATATATATATACGTGTATATATATATATATATGTAATAATAATGGATTCTACCATTGACTTTGATGAATTTTGTTAAGTAACAATTAACTCCTTTTTGGTGACTGATGTGCTAATCATAGTCATAATTCATTGCTTGAATTTCTTTTAATAGGAAATATTTGAACTTATACTAAGTTGAAACTTAATAGTAAATAATAAGTCAGCTCTATAACTCTAACTATTACATATACTTAATATATAAAATGGGGATGCTGATAAAACTCCCAAACAACCTTCAATACTCCCAAATGCCTCACAATAGGTTTTTTAGTCCTCATATATGTGAACAACCTTGTCCTGATACCTGAGATCACAGGTTGGCATGATATTTCTGACCCAAAGAGGAGCTCTGTTGCATTGATTTCTTGATAGACTCAGAGTATCACACTTATATCTTTTTGATTGTTTTGTCCCTTCATTAAGGGTGCTGAAGGTAGATGTTTTTTTAGGTTTTAGCATTATTTGTCTGCTAGTCAGGGATCTGACCTTTGTGTAACTTCACAGGAGGCTATTCTATCAGCAGGTGTATGATATCAGGGCTATTGTACTGCTATTTTGTGAATAGTTTCTGGACTGTGAAGTAATCTCCAGTGGAGCCTCTTGGTTCAGTGATGAAGGGTACAGTTACAGCTGTATCTTCAGGCAATTCAATCTAGGTTATTTATGCATGCTTCTCCTGTGGGTGCGACTGTCTCATAACCTAATCTTCTATCAAACACACTGCTATCCGCACATGAACTCAACTAAATTGAACAAAATCAGCAAACCCAACCTCAAAAAAAAAAAAAGTTGACCCCAGGTATTCCATCTACACCTATGCAAAAGATCTATGTTTCAACTTTCCAGGGGTAGAACTCCATCTTGAGGCCAAACCTGACTTCCTATTTCTGTCTGAAACAGGTATTAATAACTCTCCAACTGTAAGAGCTTACAATCTTGGGATCAGTCATGTGTCATGCATGATATATACGTAGGTGATCATGTATCTCGATACATGACTGACGAGGCAGATTTTTTTCCCCACAATAGGTTGCTATTCCTTTCTGTGGTAGACCAGTTGCCACCCAAGGCTATAGAACCCGATCTGTCCTGCTATTTATCCATAGCTGGGGGGGGAGAAGAAGAGGATTTATATCTTTCCCAAGAGCATCAGCACATAAGTGAATGTAATGGATTTGACTGGAATTTGAACTTGGCTCTCCAATTCCTCAATCTGAGCTGTTATCCATTACTCCACCATACCTCCTCTTGGGCTACTCATCCCTAATAGCCAAACATGAGCACCTAAATCACCATGGCCACAGGCTTGGAAACTATATTAAAAATAACTTTCCCTGTGGTAGAAACATAAAAATGTGGACCTTGATCTGCAGAGTCCACCTGTGGTTTAAACTTGCAGTTATGTTGAGCAAACATAAGTTAATTTCTGGAAGGAAGCACATAAACTGGCATAATCAACAGTTTAAACAAAACCAGTACATTCAAGCTCTTCTTACTTGTGGCTTTGTACTGGCACAACCATCAATGGCTTCCAAACAGTTTCATTTGCTCACACAAGGCTTGGGTCAACTGGCAGTATCGGAACACTGGATGTATTTCAAAGTCTTTGCTTGAGGAGTCATGGAATATTTTCTGTGAGAGACGCATTGTACTCAGGGGAAAACGTTTTAGAGTAAACATACAACTGAATATGATATTAAAGGTGGAGATATTATAACTTTGGTTTGCAATTTTATTTTACCTTATCCTGAGATTGAAACATGAACATGGCATACAGAAAAATTATAGCAATTTATGTTAACTGTGGAACATGTAATTTAAGGAAAACATACAACTCAGAGGAGGAAAGGTTAGTTCGTCTTTCAAAATTGTGTGTGGAATTAAGCTTGTTCCAGAGAAGTCAGTTTGCAAAGTCTTTCAATCTCTCTTTGTTTCTGTGCTAGGCTGCCCAAATATATACAGTTATTTGTCATCGGTCAATGTTAATTAGCCATTTTGTTGGCAACATACCATTGCTGCTACACACCATGCAAAGACAGCCTTATCTTAAAACATTTTATACACACAAACACTCACAGAGTAATTGACTTTTCAGTGTTACTATATTATTATGATTGAACTTAGAATTGTCAGAATTAATCATTTTAAACACTCCTTTCTGCCTTTGATCTGCGTGTCTGATGCTAACCACTAGGAGAGTGACTTGTGCCTTCCAAAGTTAATACTCTCAATTGACATGAAGTGGAAAGATTACATTGAATCCATTGTTAGATCAGCTGCTAAGAAAGTTGGCTCCCTGTGTTGTGGTAGATAATTTTTCTCTCCAGAATTTATCTTCCATATCAATAAATCTACCATTTGTCCATGCTTTGAAAAATTGTTGCCACATATAGTCTGGTGCTCCAGCTATATATTTAGAGATTCTTGATAAAATCCAAAGAAGAATCTGCAATATTATTGGTTTTGACCTTTTGTCTTGGCTTCAGTCACTTTCCTTCCACCATAAAGCTGCTTGCCGCTGCCTTTTCTACAAATACTTTCATGGTAATTGTTAGGATGAGCTCTTCATCATGCTAGCTAGATTTTATGAATTTAAGTGCAGTAATAGATTGGGAACACGGTCTCATCATTTTACAGTTGAGTTGGCTTGATATTGCTAACAGTTTCTTTTCTCGCTTCTGGAACTCTCTTCTGTCTCCCTGCTTTCCAGTCAAATTTGATCTTCAAAAATTTAAATGCAATGTCAGTCTATTGGCATCTACTCTCTTTGTGATTACTTTTCTATTGTACTCACTTGTGTTTTCTAATTGTTTCACACACAGTGACCCCTTGTGTTTTATCACTTTACTGCCTTGCTTGGGGTAAATTCAATTAAAAAAAAAAGATATACTTTAACCAATGCTTTAATCTATTAAACTATATGCCCCTGGTGTAGTGAAAGGAATAGACAGTTGACATAAAGTTGTATATCAAAGACAAGTATTAATGGATACGAAATATCCTCTAAACATATGTTGTATTCTGTTTCTAATTCGACCTTTCTGATTCACTCTGCACCAAAAACCTGTCAGCCGGATGTGAATGCTATGAAAGCAAAATTAAAGACAAAACAGTCTGTACAAAAGCTTTGAGTATGATATCCAGCTCACCAAATAAATCCTCAAAAATATCAAATAAAATATAAATGTCAGTGCCAAGCTGAGTCATTTATCCACTCTATTTAAAGGATCTGCTTGGTGACATTCAAAGCAGTGCACAAGTAGTTCACAAGGTTCACCAGGGGCCTCTTGGTCAACTGACCTGACACAAGCTCTCCCATTTTGCAGACAAACTCCTTTGCCGACAAAGAGACATTACACCTTAATGCTAATAGCAATACATATAATTTTATTTCAGTACATTTTGTTTCTTTTATTTTCCACCTTAATGACAGCGCTTTGTTTTTGTTTGTTACTTTTGCTACCACATGTGGTAAATAACACATAGAAAGTATTATAAGAATGCTCTATGTGGATTTAATAAAGGGGTCTGTTCAAAATTCTGATCAGATTATTGAGTATGAATACAAATATCTGAAGAAGCCCAGAGTACAATAGCCAAAATGCTGTGTATAAGCTTGTTTTAATAGAAAGGTTGGCAATAAAGATAATTTTTACTCTCAAAAAATTCTTACATAAATTGAAACAATCTTTTTTTTAGCTGCTCAAAATGTTTGGCATAGCGGTTCTATATGATTTTGGTGAAAATCCATAGATTTAAAGATGGCACAGAATCTCAAAAAAATGTAATACAACACTTATATCAATATAGCATTAATAATAATACAATGTAATATAATATAATCATATCATTACAGAATTATAAAACTTGAAACATGCAGAGATGTACCATATTTTTATAGTTATTTTAAATTAGGATTTTTTTTTTTAAGGATCATTCTTATTTCTCAAGGCAGTTTGTAAATCTGATTGGGGATTATTCACTATTTTGAATGATTTTCTTAATCTATCTCTAGGTTCTTCTAGGTTAAGGAAAACGGTTGGCTTCAACTATTTTATTTCCAAAACTCAAGTATCTTTAATTTTCTAAACAAATAATGATTAAAAAAACAAAAAACAAACAGGAAATGCAGAGAATTTAAAGATAATCAATTTTCTCAGCTTTTGTTTTGTTGATTTTCTTTGAAAAATTTCTAACAAACTCTGCTGTTGTCTTTGTAAGTATTAAATATATATTTCTGTTTGTATTACATAAATGTCATGCAGATATATAACTTTATACAGATATTAATATAGATACATACAGTTTTATAGGTATTTGTATTATTTATATAAAAGTAATATATATATATATATATTCTTACGACCCTCCCCCTTCCTCCAACACCATTGATAGTGGAGGTAGAGGAGGATCATAATCTGTGTTGTTTTTTTTTTTAATATTTACATTTACTCAGTTTTCATAAAATATATTTCTTTCTCAAGGGTCTCTTTCCGATTGATCAGATACAGCCGAGCAGAATCGATTAAGGAACAAACACGATAGGCAACAAACAACAATGGAGACAGGGTATATAAATTTATTAACAAACATAAAAACATGGGAAAGATTAAAAAAAAAAACGGCCAAAACAAAGATGACAATATGTCAAGAATAAACATTTAAACATTGTATACAAAATAGTGGGAGGGGATCATCCTCTTTGGAAGGTAAAACACACATCAACATATGGCCTTGTGCCATACTTGCACGAATTTACAGAACATGTGGCATACTTGCATGAATTTACAAAACATCAAAATTTTAAGACAAGTAGAATGAAACATGTAATAAAAGGATCTCATGCCAGACTTGCATGACAGTACAAACATGAAAAAGAAGTACATTTAAACAAAAACGAAGCACAAGGAAAACAACGAACTTATCTCGTAATAAAAGTTCTTTTCTACTAATGTCTCTTATAACTTCTTCTCTTTTCTCTTTTTCCTTTTCTATTTCTTTTTATAAGCGTCTCCTTTTGAGGTCTTTTCTTACTTCCTCTCTTTCTCTTTTTGTCCTGTCTAGGGGCTTGGTCAACGATTAAGTTGAAACTGCTATCCTTCTCTCTCTCCTTCATCTTGGAGAGGTAGCATTCTCCTTTGAGATCTTTTCTTCCTTTCTTTCCTTTTCCCATAATTATCTCCCTTTGAGATTTTTTCCTGCTTTTTTCTTTTCTTTTTCTATCAGTGACTGGTCTCAGGATTTGGGTGACAGACAAATTGAAGATGTCTTCTATCTCTCTTTCGTCTCGATGTAGCGGCATTCCGCATACATCATCATTTATTTCCCCAAAATTCAATGTTTCTTTCGTGTTCCACGCGCTTGTGTTCGGTTGTCCATTCGAGGTTCGAAGAGGGACTTTTCTTCTGCATAGCCAACCAAAACTTTTGCTTTCATAGCAAACGGGTTCATCTATTCCATTCAAAGATGAATTCTTTTTCTCGTATTTTCGCAAACACGTCCGTTCGGTCCTTAGGCCTTTTTTCTTGTCACGTGGTCAATTTTCAAATATGAACTTTTTCCTATTGTGAATGAAATGATGTCATTGATTCCCTCTCTCATCTGCAGGGTCAGAGAAAGATTAGTTTAAAGTGTTTCAACTTTTCCTATCTGGAATCTATCTGTGTAAATCATGCTTCAACACATTGACCAAAAGAGAAAAAAAGGGTACATTCTGGTTAATCTTTGTCACCACTAAGTCTTTGGGCTTACTATCTCTATGTTTGTGCAAGTACTGGGCTCTTTATTTTAGAATGCTTCTAAAATATAAGCAATGGTATAGTTTTTATAATAAATTTAGATGGGGGGTTGTAACAATATATACAGAAACTTTTATAGGCATAGGCATATTTTTAATATAAATGTGTATATATATATATATATATATGTGTGTGTATATATATATATATATATATATATATATATATATATGCACACACAAACATACATACAATTTTATAGATATATGTATTATTTATATAAAATTATATATATATATATATATATATATATATATATACAATTTTATATTCATCGCAAAGTATTTCTATAAATGTACACTATGTATATATACACATATTTTATAAGCATAGATAGTATTTATTTAAATGTAATATTCTTCTATTTATATTTATACTCACACATTATATATATATATATATATACACACTTTATATATATACATATATATATATATATATATATATATATATATATATATATATATATATATATATATATATATATATATATATATATATATATATATATATATATATATATATATATATATATATATATATATATATATATATATATATATATATATATATATATATAAATATATATATATATATATATATATATATATATGGGAAAGTTACTGAATAGAACAATCACATGAAGATTGGTAATGAAATGAACAATAATACTTAGGACAAGAACAACACAAATAAGATTTGCCAGCAGAGCATAGAAGAAGTAGTCACCACTGTATTTATGGAATGGGGGCATACCATTATTGTCCATAGGTATGCTACAACGATATATATATATATATATATATATATATATATATATATATATATATATATATATAGTTGTAGCATACCTATAATTTGCATAAATATAATATATGTATATATATATATATATATATATATATATTTATATATATAATATATATATTTATTTAAATATAATATATATTATTTATATATATATATATATATTTATATGTGTATATATATAAATGCATAATTATATTTCAATGTGTAATATAAAATATAGAAATGCACACACATGTATCTATATTAATAAATTTGATACTTTAATCTTAGATGTAAAAAAGAAAGCAGGAAAAATATGGGATATTGGAACGTCTACAAAATTTGAACTAAAGTATTAATCAATCATAAATTCATAATTTATTGAAGAGTTAAATATGTGTGTGTGTGTGTGTGTGCATGTTTGTATATTTGTGCATACATATATCAACAGCAGGGAGTCACTAAACATTTCTGAGCCTAGCCAAGAAGAGATTCAAAAACAATTTTTTGGTCATTTGATCTGAGTTTGAGAAATGGGCTGGGCTGAGAATCTTTCAGCACCCTTTTGTTAAGGTGTGCTGATAATTTTACAGTATAATTCACTGACTAAAATCAGTGTTTAGTCATCAAACTCCAGAATATTGATTTTGGAAAGTAAGTCTGGTTCAGAAGTTTTCAGTAAACTTTACAAACATACACTCATATATATATATATATATATATATATATATATATATGGGGGAGTGTCGTAGTATTAGTAGTACATAATATATTCACATGTAATGTATATGCTTGTATAATTATACATATGCTGTTGTATTTTATAAATATTTTATCATTAATATGAACACACACTTCAACTTACACTACCAGTTGATAATATGTGTATATACAGTATTTTGTTAACGTTATTGTATAAAATGCTTTTCTGAGAAAATGAGAAAATATGCACATATTTTAAGTTTGAGTTTTTGAACTGAAATGTAAAAATTGGTTTTTATTCAAATCTTTGCTTAAAATCTTCGAGACTAAACTTATTTCTAAATTTTAACTGTTAGCTCAAAATTTGTGAGCTACCGACATCAGTTAACCCCTAGCTACCATACAACAAGATCAGACTTAAGCTATATGAAAGAGGCATCTTAACTTATTGTTGAAACTTGACTAATGCATGAATAATAATGCAACACAAAATGTACTTAGAACAAAATGTATTGAAACAAGAAAGTGTACACAATATTTACATATAGTCTTTTGTATATTCCTGCTAAGACCGTTCCTGGAGAATGTGTTGACTTAGTCGCAGTCGGGCAGAGTCTCTGGTTGAATCTCTTGATTCCTCCCCTCATCTTCCCGGTACCAACCATATTTATATGGTCGGTACTCCACTATGCAAAATAGGTGGATCCTACCACAACACTTATGTTTATCTATTTGAACCATTTTGATGGAAGCTAAATGTAATAAAATACCCCCAAAATGCAAAATATACTGCAAATGTTGTATATTGCATATGAGGATTGGCTGAAAAGTTCATAGGCTGACTATGAAGTAGTTATGTTAGACTAGTGAATTCTTGCATGCATTAATTTCATCTCTTCGTATTAATAACTGCATTCTTTCAAGGTAAAAAGAAATCTGACTGTTTAATGAAGACTTCAGATTTAAGTCATCGCAGCTTCTCTTGAAAATGAACAAAATTTGGCATTGTGGTTTTATCAAGTACCTCCAGAAAAAGGTTTTGCCTCTAAGGACATTTTTGCTGACATTAGGTGATGACATCCCAGCTTTATTTAAAGTTCAAAAGTGGGTAACAGAATTTAGGAGGGGAAGAGTCTGGACATCTTGTGACTGCCACGACGGAGGAAAACATTGATCGTGTTCACCACATGGTGACGAATGACAGGCGATTGACTATAAATCAAATAGCCAATGCTGTTAGTATATCCTGTGAGAGAGCTGAGAATATTCTGCACAATGAAGCTGGCATGACAATGAAGAAGGCCAAAGTCATTTCATTTGCAGGGAAGGTGATGGCTTCAGTTTTCTTGGGATACAAAAGGCATTGTGTTTATAGACCATCTTCAAAAGGGCCACACCATCAATGGAGAGTACTTGCTGAGATAGTTATGAAAGGCTATCAAGATCAAATGCCCAGGAAAACTGACAAGAGTGGTTTTGTTTGATCAGGACAATGCTTCAGCACACAAATCCTTGGTTTTAATGGCTTCTGTACTTGGCTGTGGATTTGAACTTGTTGATCACCCTTTTGGTTCTCCAGATTTTGCTCCATCTGACTATCATCTGTTCCCCAACATGAAAAAAACTTGGCTGGGAACTAGTATTGCAGTGATGATGACATCATATCTTCTGTTGACATTTTTTATCAACAGGATGAAAGCTTCTTCATCATTATGATCCAAGCACTGCAACACCAGTGGAAGAAGTGTGTGGACCACAAGGGGTCTATGTTGAAAGATAAACCTCATTTGACCCCATTCCATGAGAGTATATTGGTCAGCCTCTGAACTTTTCAGCTGACACCTGTATATTATAAATTATAAAAGGTGAGATTCTTATTCTTCTACATGCTACACTGCTTCAGAGTATAGACAATCATGGCTCTCTACACCGTACTACCTCATGTGGCTCAGCAGTTTTTCTTCCTTTGCTAAAGTGCCCACTCCCTGCTCTGCCATTCATTCACACAAGCTCATCAGTTAAGTAGCTTGCTGCCTTCTCCTATCTCTCTTGCCTTCAACATGCCCTATGAGGTGCTTCAAGGACTCCTCATAACTGCCATAGAACCAGGTATGGTTGAATAAATGCTTTAATTGACTCGGCTATGTGAAATTTATAAAATTGTTCTCTTAAAACAATTTAAAAAAAAAAATTAGTTTCTCGAGTCCTGTAATTATTATTTCTCTATTCAGTGATGGATAATGATGGGGGCTTCCCTCCTAACTTTCTGTTTAAAGTTGTGTGGAATGTCAACATCTTGATTATGTCATTATTTTCTTCTTGAGTTACATGTGTGTTGTAGAGTAGCTAACACCCCTTCAGCACTCTACCAGATGGTCTGTTTCATAACCTTAAATAGTCTATGATTAAGGACTTCAACAGTTGATTAATAAGTTGATACTAAGCTGATTAATATTCGGACTGATCTTACTTTGTTTGGCTATACAGCATTTGATCCTCCTCTATTCCTTGTAAGTTGTCTTGTTAATTGTTTTGTGACGTATTGTTCTGTGTTTTTGTATGTATCTGTTAGCACCAAATACTGGTGCTGAATAAATATAATAGGCACTCATTCTTCTCTGTGTATCATTCACCTCGACGATAAAACAATTTAGTTGTTGGCACTGTTGGTAGTCCTCAAGTGATGTACTTTTTTTCTTATCTGTAACAGTTTTTTGTTTGTGATTCTGTAGTGCCAATCCACAAGGTTTTTAAAAGAATAGTCCTCACTAAGCCCTACCAGTTTTCATTCACTCAGAGCCATTTGAATTCAAAACAATAGATTAAAAAAAATAGCAAAAAATAAAGAGGTGAGGATTTTATCCTCAATCCTTAAAATCCATACTTATGATCGGCATTTATACAGAAGGTCTCAGTCAATCCAGGATCCAGCATTACTACTAGTGTGACTACAACTACAACAATACAATTATGATTACTCTCTTGAATAACATCTTAATTATAATTGAGGCAGCAACCATAGTGACTAATAAAACTATAAATTCTACTTTGACTACTACTTTTGGTAACACTGTCATTTCAGTTTTGATTTCACCATATCAACCTTTCCATAACCACCCACTCTGCTACAACCAATGCTAAAATAATTCATAATCGTCATAATAATGAAGATATCTGTTAATATTGAATATGCAACACGATAACTAAATCAGAAAGATAAATAAAAAAAAAATCATTAAGTACTTAGCCAGATGAAAAAAAAAA